CTCCTAGACTGGAAAGTTAATCACTCCCCTCCTTGCTATAAAAGTCTACCTTTACATTTCCAACCCTCACAATCAGTCCTCATAACTCAAACTGACCTTACGGTCCAGTGCTTATCCTACAGTGCCACACCAGGACTCCAAGGGTTTAGTTAAAAAAAAAAAAATCTTCATTCTGCCACATCCCTGTTTTCTGGGATTCCTGTTTATCTTCCTGCTTTCATTTATTTTGTCTTTAGGCTCAACTAGAGAAGCTGCAGGCAGAGATCTCACAGGCAGCTCGAAAAACAGGCATCCATACTTCAACTAAGCTGGCCCTCATTGCTCCTAAGAAGGAATTGAAAGAAGGAGATATCCCTGAAATTGAGTGGTGGGACTCATATATCATCCCCAATGGTTTTGACCTGTGAGTGAGTTAGCTAAATCTTTGAATAAGTGTGTAGTTTTAATGGGAAGAATGGTTCTCTTGCATGAAATAAAAGCTTTTTTAATCCATGAGAAACAATTAACTAAACACAAAATAATATATATGTAAAGCATATAGTATTTTGTGGATTATTCTGAGTTATTTGGGTTAATAGAGGAGAAGCAGAGCCACAAATAATCTTTTAAAAAAAATCTGAGTTTTCTATTTACTTTTGTTATACATTGTTATTTGATTATAATAATATGTTTTCTTAATTACATCCTTCACCTAATAAAAAGCATATATGTTTTTTACAGATCACAATTGGTAATATAAAGCAAAGATTCTTAGTTGGTGGAGGAAGAGATGGCTAATAAAGCATATAAGAAATATTTAGAGAACTTTAACTATTTCTGTGTCATTCTGGTATATGACTTTAGGAGACTGTGTCTCAGCGTTTCTTTACCCTTCCTTTCTCAATCACTATTCCAGGGAGTTATATTGTTACTAATGAGAGAATATGGCACCTCTCAGAGATGTTAGGGTACAGAAAAGGTTGAGAATGTCTGGTGTAAAGTACATCCAATCTTAGTGAGACCTAGTTTTGTCATCTTGAAAATTGTATGTAATGTATATTATAGAACTATAAATGCTAAAAGGGGCTTGAATGCATTACGACTAGTGGATTTTTCCCATTGTGTTTTTGAGGCTTCCTCTCAGAAAAATCATCTCTACCCACCTCTCCTATTTTCCCCTCTTCCTCCAATTTTAGTACAGAGGAAAATCCCAAGAGAGAAGATTATTTTGGAATCACAAATCTTGTTGAGCATCCAGCCCAGCTCAATCCTCCAGGTAATCTCAATCAAGTCTCTATTCCCACAGAATATTATACTAAGATGGACGTGTTCTGTGCTGTCCAATCCAGTAGTCACTATAAGACTACTGAGCGCTTGAAAACAGAGTTATAATATTTTAAATTTTATTCATTTTTCATTACATTTAAATATAAATAGCACATGTAGTTAGTGGCTACCGTATTTGACAGTGCAGCTCTGGTGTGTTGCGGCCTCATGGATATATTTCAGGTTGGGCTTTTACCATAGTGCTGACTTCAGCTGGAGTCTTGATGTCACCCCCACTAAATGCCTATCTTTATCATCATCCTTTCTTTTATAATTTTTATAGTAAAAATCTATTGGCTCAGTCAAAAGAAATTTTATTTAACTGTGATTATGATTTAAGTAAAAGTTTACAGAGCTAATTGGTTTTCCATTCAACCAACCGTTCATACACATTTTATTTTGTGACATTGATTGCAGTCTAAGTGTACCAACACTTTTCCAACTTCCTTCCTGTGTTTACCATTTCCAGTTGTCCTTTCCTATCCTTTCCTGTCTACTGAGCTTTATTCCTATGCAAATGCTCCCCTTTTAATCTCATATGATTGATTGTTGTAACGAGTATGTATGTCTCTGATGTTATCATTCAACCTGTAGGCCTATCTGTTGTTTGGCTAAAAGTTGAGCCATGGGAGTGAGTTTAGTTTCAGGCCATAGTCTGAGGGGAATGGAGATGGGTTTTAGTTGTGGCTATGTTTGACTCCTGGTGTAGCGCTGTGGGATAACATTAGACTGCGAACTACAAATTCGGCAGCTCAAACCCACCAACTGCTCCTCCTATACAGGGTTGCTATGAGTTGGAACCGACTCGACAGTATTTAACAACAGCAATAATGTTTTTAGCTAGTTTAATACTTACGGTAAGTCACTTACAACACTGAATTTCCTCATATGTAGAACTAATATTAATTTGTCTTTAAGAGTTTTACAGATCGTAAAAGATTTTAATACTTCCATCAGGCTTGGGATGAATAGAGAAGATAATACCCCAATTAGTAAATTCACTGGACAGTAGCTTCAGTTTAGAAAAAGAGATTAAGACCTATTATTAGAAATAATACAAGTTATAATAATCACTGGATTTTACCTAACCAGATTCTACTTAGCTGTTAAAACTGTGGCTCATTAGAAGGATGAGTAGACTTGCTTTAGGAATCCTGAGGATTCTTCCTAATCTCTGTAGATCTTAAAACATAAATTTCATATTCTAGGCTATTGATATTTAAACTGTTGTAGAAAGACAGGAGATGGATTCTAGAGATCCTTCCTAACCACCCAACCAACCAGTTGCCATTGAGTTGATTTAGAACTCATGGTGACCCCATGTGCGACAGTGTAGAATTGTGCTCTACAGGGTTTTGAACAATTGATTTTTCACAAGTAAATCACCAGGTAACTCTGGGTGGACACATACCTCAAACTTTTGGGTTTAGAAGCTGAGTATATTAACCATTGTACCAACCAGACTTCATATACCCTCAGATCTTCACTTACAGTAACCAAAGCAGTTCCAGTTTTGGTTTTTATATTATATATTTCATTTGATGTTAAACTGCTTAAAGGCAAAGCAAGTTAGAATACTACTCATGAAAGATAAGAATGCTGTTTTTAAATATAACCATAATATCACAACCTGAAAATAACAATATTTAGGCTAAAGTTTCTTTTAATGTGACTTCTATTTATCTAAATCCCTTTTAATTCATTGCTTTGGAATACTCATTTCTCTGCCTGACAGTTGACAATGACACACCGGTTACTCTGGGAGTGTATCTTACCAAGAAAGAACAGAAGAAACTTCGGAGGCAAACAAGGAGGGAAGCACAGAAGGAACTACAAGAGAAAGTCAGACTGGGTCTAATGCCTCCTCCAGAACCCAAAGGTACATAACTTAGAGACAAAGAAGAAAGAGTGACAAGTTTTTGCTTTTTTTTATCTTTTATTCTAGAATTTTTAGCATTTTTCTGCATTTGGTTCTTTTTTTTTTTCTCCCAATATTTCCTAAGATGTCTACTATCTTTTCTGTTTAAGACAGGTCAATAAAGTTTCTTTTTAAGTATTATTAACCATATCACACTCTGATCTTTAAGACATATAATGGTATGATGGTCATAAAGTTCATTTTAGCTACTCACTTTTTAATGACTTTAGAGTGAATCAGGAACTAGGAAGGGAGTCTTTTATAATGGTGAGGGCTAGGGACTTATTTTTACGGTCTAATTCTTTCATCCCTAAAATCTTAGTAGTTGCAGTATTTGGGTATTATTATTACGTACATAATTCTTAATATTAAAAATGAAAACAAAGTTAAAAGAACATAACTCACCCCTATACTTTTCATTATCAAGCAATAATAATTGAATGAGCAGTGTTACATTTAGAATTTTTTACTATAAGTTGTAATCAGAGAAGAAACTAGTAAAGAAATTATGTTCCCTGTCTTTCACAAGCATTCAAGCTATATATATATGTGTGTGTGTGTGTATATATGTTGTTGTGTGCCATGGAGTCGGATAATATCCATGTGCCTACAGTGAAGTCCAGTTTCCAAGGCTGCAAATCTTTACGGGAGCAGAAAACCTCATCTTTCTCCCGTGGAGCAGCTGGTAGTTTCGAACTGCTGACCTTGTGGTTCGCAGTCTAATTCGTAACCGCTACATTACCAGAACTTATACACATATATATATATACATACACACACATACCAGCTACTCATATTAGCTGTGTGATCTTCCACTAGTGCATGGTTAATTGAGTGGGATTATCAAGGTAGTGGTTCTTGAGCAGAGATTTGAAATAGATAAGCAATATGAATTGATGGAGAAGCTATAACACATGTATCCTAGTTAAAGAATTGATTTAGGAGATTGATCTTTGTTCTTTTTCTATTGCAGTGAGAATTTCTAATTTGATGCGAGTGTTAGGAACAGAAGCTATACAAGACCCTACGAAGGTAGAAGCCCACGTGCGAGCTCAGATGGCAAAAAGACAGAAGTAAGTGCCATGGGATTGGGTGGAAAACCCAGGGCAAGTACCTTCCCTAAAGTCTCCTGGGGGAATCCATATTTGGAGGGAGGGGAGAGTCCTCTGTTGCTCTCTCTTTCCCTCAGCCCTGCCTCTGATCTTCAATGCCTTTCTCACTTGTGGATGTCCTTCCTGTCACGACAGAGCGCATGAAGAGGCCAACGCTGCCCGAAAACTTACAGCAGAACAGAGAAAGGTCAAGAAAATTAAAAAGCTTAAAGAAGACATTTCACAGGGGGTACACATATCTGTATATAGGTAGGTGTCCATACTGGGCCAGCCTTTTCCATAGAAATACAAGATATTTTCTAAGTGCTTAATATAGACTTAGTATGAGCTAAAGGCATATCTAATATCAGTCTCTACTCAATTTTATTGATCGTAGTGTGAATTAGGAACTAGGGAAGTCTTTTTCTAATGGTGAAGTGTTAGTGAACTAGTATCAGTTCTGAAGAATGAATGAATATATTTGTTCAGGCCAAGTGTAGGATTGTTTGTTCTTTGTGAAGCATCAGATATCACCCGATTTCTCTAGGAATCAAAATTTTCTTTCCTCGGTAATGATTCTTATTCTGATATGTACCCAAATTTTTTTGGTAATCCTTTGCCCCCCCTTTCCAAAATGTGTCTTATGCATTCTAAGCATTTTACTATATTCATGTTGATTTAATATTTTCTGTTACTATTTTATGTAAATACATGTGTACCCTCTAGTTTTTAAATGTGCTTGTATTTTATTAACTGAGTATGGCACTGTAGGATAAGAACTTAACTGCTAACCACAAGCTCAGAAGTTCAAACCAACCAGCTGCTCTTTGGAAACCCAATATAGGGTCGCTATGAGTCAGAACTAACTCAACAGCGTTTAACAACATATTATAAAAGAAGGAACCCTGTGGCACTGTAGGATAAGCACTGGACTGCTAACCACAAGGTCAGCAGTTCAAAGCCACCAGTCACTGTACAGGAGAAAGATGAGGCTTTCTGCTCCTGTAAAGATTTTGAGTCTCAGAAACTCTACACAGGTTGCTACGAGCTGATATTAACTCCATGATTGTTGCTACGAGCTGATATTAACTCCATGATTGTGCGGTTTTGGGGGTATATTATAAAAGTGGAGCACTATTATAAATGTAGTGAATGCTTTTTAAGATAAAACAATTGTAACACTACATTAGGGCATATAATGAAAATATCTCTTTCTTACTCTCTGATTTTAGCACCACTCTCTGTAAGTAATTGCTATTAATGGTTTTTCATGTAACTTTTAGAAAATTTTTAAATATAGTATTGTGACTATATTATAAGCATCAAGAGGACAAAGACTTTATGGCTCTTTACACTGTTGTGTACAATTTGTTTATAAATGTTTTTGGATGATAGTAAATGCCTTTCACTCTTCTCAGAGTGAATTCTGATTGCCTACTATTTGCTATAAGTTATACAGTGCTGCCAGAATTTGAAGACATGAAATTAGTTCTAGTTCTAGACTCAATTTTACCTTTTAAAGCATGTTTATGCTTACTCCAGAGGGCTTTATTTATAGAGAGAAAACCATATTGGATCCATCTGTTTTATTTTCCATCCCATTCAGGCAGCTACTGATGCTAAAATGAAAGCCATAACTAAACTTTCCCTTCTCCAGAGTTCGAAATTTGAGCAACCCAGCCAAGAAGTTCAAGATTGAGGCCAATGCTGGGCAACTGTACCTGACAGGGGTGGTGGTACTGCACAAGGATGTCAACGTGGTAGTAGTGGAAGGGGGTGAGTCTGAAAAAATGGAGAAAGACTATTTCCAGACAGCACTAGACCTAGAAAAGATTAGCATGGTGGAGAAGAGGGGGGTAAAAAAGTATATTCGAGCACCACCTGGGTTAAATACCCAGGGCCTCTGTTTCTATGTTACTGGAGTAGAAAGTCCCAAAATTTGGTTCCTGGGATTAGTTGAACTACCATATTAAGGTTCTGAGCATTAGCTGAGCTCAGAGGTTCTCTCCACCCCATCATCTTCCACAGTTCTGGCAAAAAATTTTTCTTCTCTGTTTCTAGGCCCCAAAGCCCAGAAGAAATTTAAGCGTCTTATGCTGCATCGGATAAAGTGGGATGAACAAACATCAAACACAAAGGGAGATGGTGAATCGGGGCTAGAGGGAGATTAAATGGGAGTCCTATGGGAGGTGGGGATGGTATTGTACATCTATCTATTCATGCATCTTATTCCCTCCCTCTGACATTCTTGTTACCTTAAGGTGGTATTCACCTTAAGGAATTTTAGAAAGACCTATTCGAACTAAGGCTGCTAAATATTCATCTAATACTTTTTATATGCATAATAACATTTATTATAACAATTATATGCCTTATAGCTTTTAATATATGCATTATAAAGTTTTTATGTCTGTCCTTTAAGGCCTTTCTACCAACTGGTTTCTCTGTGTGCCCAGGATCTGGATACTGGTTACATGGATGTGTTTAGTTTGTGAAGACTTACCAATTCATGCATTCATATTTGTAGTGTTGAATTGTATTCTTTGATTTTAAAAATTTTTAAGAAGGGTTGAAACCAGATTTTCAGAAAAAAAAAAACACCAACAACTCTCTACCTTCCTTGATTGAAAATACAAGGGTAAGTCAAAAAGTTTTGTTCTTAGGGTTCCAGTTCATATATGCATGGGTTTATTCCAAACAGAATATGCTTAGTTATATCTCTGTAGTTAGTGGGTGACTGCAAACAAGTTCTTTCAGAAATATACTTGTTTTAGTCCCATTAGGGTGTCTTCAAAAAACAGGATATAATTTTGAGATCAGGGTTTATTTCACATTTTAAAAACAGAACTCAAGTGGACATCTTCCCAAGCTTTGCAACGAGTTTTATAGGGATGCTGTCCCACATAAAACAATTTTAGATGGATCAAGCATTTTAAGGAAGGTCAGGACGATCTCAAGGATAAGCCAAGACAGGGAAGTCCATCAACCTAGGTGAATGAAGAAACTTTCTGAAGTCCAAAAACTATTGTAAGACGACTATAGAATTGCCATTGGTGTAACAGCTACAGAAGTTAGGAACTCACATGATTTGACATTTTCAATTTTAAGCAAATATCTTGGCCTCACCAAGCTTTTGTCTCAATGGGTACCAAAAGCTTTATGTGAGACTTTTAAATGGGTAAAAATACATAAATCACAGGCTAATCTCAAAGAAAATGAATACATCTTCGTATCAAAATAGAAAAGATTTAGTAGACATTAACAGAAATGAAGAAAATGAAAAAGAAAACCCACAAATTAACTCAGTGCAGAAAACTATGTGGAACAAAGAAACCAGCATCACACACACAAAACCCAGCAAAATGACAGCAATCAATTCATATCTATCAATAATTACATTTAATGTAAATTAAATGCTCTAGTCAAGAGATAGACAGTAGTGGAACGGATAATAAGACAGGATCCATCAATGTGCTGCTTACAAGAGCCATACCTTACACACAAAGAAAGAAATAAACTAAAAATCAAAGGAGATGTATCCACACCTATGTTCATTGCAACACTATACACAATAGCAAAAAGATAGAGACAGCCTAAATGCCCAGCAACAGAAGAGTGGTTAAACAATCTTAGCACATAAACACAATGGAATATTATGTAGAATAATGTCAAATCTGAAAAATTTTTTACATGGATAAACCTAGAGGACATTATGCTGAATGAAATTTTTAAGTACCATCAAGTTGATTTGGACCCATAGTGACACTGTATAGGGTTTCTAAGGACCAGCTGGTGAGCTTGAACCACCGACCCTGTGGTTCAAATTTACTTTGCAGTCCAGCACATTAAGCCACACCAGTACTCCTGAATGAAATTAATCACAAAAGACAATTATATATGAGACCACTGTTGTAAAAAGTAAAGATATTTCTTGCTAATGAAACATTGTATTATGGTTACCAGGTGGGGCGTCAAGGGATTATTTACAGTTAGACAGTAGATACATGTTAACATGGGTGATGGGGCAGGCAATATACAATAGGGAGGTTGACAGAGGAAAAAAGGTAGCAGGAGACACAGAGTTAGAGAAAATAGAGGTAAATAATATTAACTGTGGGTACATGGAGGGGATTGCAGTCATTGTAATGAAGCAAAGTATATGATTTGCTAAATGTAAAACTGATGATCTGTTTTGTAAAACTTCACTTTTAGAATAAGTTGAAATTTTTAAAAAGCTTTGTATGAAGATCAGCTAGTTCAGAGCTTATCTTTTCCATCAGTCTTCTAAGCAAGATGGAAACTAATGGCAAACAATTTTATGGAATGAATTATAACCAAGGTTGTTGTTATGGGTCGTGGAGTCGGTTCCGACTCATAGTGACCCTGTACAGAGTTTCCGAGGCTATAAATCTTAATAAGAGCAGAAAGCCTCATCTTTCTCCCGCAGACCAGCTGGTAGTTTCGAACTGCTGACCGTGAGATTAGCAGCCCGATTCATAACCACTACGCTACCAGAGCTGCTTTGTAACCAAGGTAGAGTCTTGGATTTACCGATATATTCCAGAGAACAAGGTCCTGTATCACAACTGGCTTCAGAAGAGAGCTACTGAGCCAGTGAAAGTTAAGGCATCAAGGTTAGTTCAGAAAGTTGTGGTAGCTGTTTTTTGGAATTCCAAAAGGGAAATCTCAAAAGACAACAACAGGAAAAAGTTTTAAGAAAATTGAAAACTGTGTTGGTAAGAAAAAGGCCAGGAAAGTTGTGCCAAGGAATTTTTACCCATCACAACAATGCGCCTGTTTATTCCTCAAGGCTAAAGGCTGTTCTATGAAAATAACATCTTACAGTCCTGATCTTGCCCCTTCAGACTTATTTTTGTTCCCCAAATTCAAAGAACTTATAAAAGGAACACAATTTGAGTCCCTTAAGGATGCCAAGATTTCCATTTTGACATTTAAATTGAAGAGTGTAGAATTCTTTGGTGAAGGTTTCAGAGAGATGGAAATGCCAGCTTCAAAAATCTGTAGACTTAGATGGAGGATATTTTGAGAAACAATAGCTTCACGTTTTGGTAATTTTGTTTAATAAAGGTTTCTATGAATTTTTTTTTTAGCAATACTTTTTGACTTACTCTTGTAGACTTATTTCGGTTGTCCAACTTTATCTTACCTCTTTATATATATTTGACAGTATTATCCCTTCATCTGTGTTCATTCTTCCTTTCTTTGAAGACCTGGGATAGCATTTAATATTTGCAGACTCTTAGTTTTTCTTAACTTTGTCTCCACTTTACTTTCTGTCCTTGAAGTACTTAACAGTACATTTTTATACTATAATTGACCTTTATTTTACTTTGGTTTTCAAGTGTTCCTAAGACATTTTCATTTGGTTACATCTGTCCTCCTCCCCTGCTAGACAAAAAAACTCCTTAAGAATGGACTACCCTGTTGCCATCTGAAGTCTAGCTCCTACAAGTGCCTAGAACAAACTATTATTGTTCACTGCTTGTCTCTGATTTACCTCCTTATTTCTAGTACATGGCACACCTCTTGGCACATAGTAAGTGCTCAAAAATGTTTATTGAATTAATTGTGTTCCTGCCTATTTGGAGGTTCCAGTCTATTTGAGGAAAGTAAAGAATGGTAGAAAAGGGGACATTTATTCCCAGCAAAACAGGTGATAGTATTTCAGAGAATATGGATGGACTTGAGTAGAGTGAGACTTAGCTGTATTTTCTTTTCCAGATGATGAAGAGTCTGATGAGGAAGCTGTGAAGAAAACCAATAAATGTGTATTAGTCTGGGAGGTAAGTGATTCTTTGTAAAACACTGAAGCAGAACTTTAACCAATTTCTGATTGTTTCTATTATCCAAGTGGAACAATGGCATTGTTAGGTACAGTCCAGTTGGTAACGACTCATATTGACCCTATGTAGGGTTTCTGGAGGGTTTGAACTGCCAGTCTTATAGTTAGCACTTCAGTGCTTATTCTACAGCACCACAACACCAGGACTCCAGCAATGAAATGGTTAAAACTAAACAGTGAGTAATCACTTAAGTAATTCATGTTTCTTTTTGGAATTCACTTTTAAATGTTTGGCAACAAAGTCTTCCTGGTTAGATACTTAAATACATTGATGATTATATAGTATATGCTGTATGGAAATGCTGATAGCAAGACTACAGATTTTCTTTTGAGAGTTATTTCAGTCATGAATATGAGACTTGGAAAGTGAAATAAATTATTGCTGGATTTTCTTTATTTAGAAATAGTGAAAGAAGTACTAGACATAAGAATATAAAGTAACTAGACCTAAGAATGTAAAATTCAAAGGCTGGGCAGTACCACTTACTAGCTATACAACTTGGGCAAAACACTTACCATCAGATTCTGTTGTGTTATCTATTAAATTTTTTACGCTTCCTACTTTCATGTTGTGTGCATGTGAGAGAACCAAATTAGATAATTATGTGATGTTGTTAAGTGCCATTGATCCTGTATAGGGTTTCCGAGGTATCTTTCTGAAAGCAGAAAGCCTCATCTTTTTTCTGAGGAGTGGCTAGTGGACTCAAATTGCTGACCTTGTGTTTTACAGTCCAGTACTTATCCTTTAGAGCTACCGCATGCTGTAATTATATGATGTTGTTGTTTAGTGCTGTCAAGTTGGTTCCGACTCACAGTGAACCTGTATCGGATTTCCGAGGAGGGTTTGAACTGCCAACCTTGTGGTTAGCAGTCCAGTGCTTATCCTAGAGCATCACACCAGGACTCAAATGATCTGATTATTGTTGTTAAGTACGATAGAGCCAATTCCAACTCACAGTGACCGTGTACAGGGTTTCCAAGAAGCGGCTGGTGATTTTGAACTGCCGACCTTGCAATTTATACAACCTTGTGGTCCAGTGCTTTTCATACAGTGCCACACCAGGACTCCTGATTATCTGATGTTGTTAAGTGCCGTCGAGTTGGTTCCAGACCATAGTGACCCTGTATACGGTTTCTGAGGAGCAGCTGGTGAGCTTGAACTGCCAACATTGCAGTTCAAACAGCTTTGCAGTCTGGTGCATTAACCCACAGCGCCACACCAGGATTATCTGATTGTTGTTGTTGTTAAGTGCCATCGAGTTGGTTCCGACCCATAGCAACCCTGTACAGGGTTTCCGAGGCTATAAATCTTTACGGGAGCAGAAAGCCTTATCTTTCTCCCGTGGAATAGCTGGTAGTTTCAAACTGCTGACTGTGAGGATAGCAGCCCAACTCGTAACCACTACGCTACCAGAGCACTTTAGGATTATCTGATAGTGCTTTGTAAAATGTGACTAAGTCACTCTTCAAATTGCAGTGTGTTTAGTTATCCAATCCTTCAATTCCTGAAAATTTTAAGTGAACCAATATTAGTTCTGAAGAAATGAATGAATAGATATACTTGTTCAGGCCAAACTGTGAACTAAAAATTGTTCATATTTTGTGAAGTATAAAATGACATACTCATTTCTTCAGGAAGCATTAAAAATTCTTTCCATTATAGTGATTCTTACCTTAATGCATACAATAATTTTTTAGAAGCCCTTTTATGCCCACTACAGAATGCATTTTATACATTGTAAATATTTTGTTACCTTTATGTTGATTTAATATTTTTATTTTATTCTTCTGTGCTGATAGTTGTCTATCTAGTATTTTATTATAAAGGTAGTAAATGCTTACTAAGATTTCTTTTTAAATTGTAGTAACACAGAATGTTTTAACTGAAAAAAACCCTCCCTTTTCCCTGGTCTCTTAGGATTATTCTTTATAGGTGATTGCTGTTAGAATTGGAGTCCTGGTGTGGTGCTGTAGGATAAGCACTGGACTGCTAACCACAAGGTTGGCAGTTCAAACCCTCCAGTTAGTCCTTGGAAACCCTATACAGGATCACTGTGAGTCGGAACTGATTCAATGGCACTTAACAACAGCTATTAGAATTTTATCCCAGATTCCTAAAATTTATGAATATAAATTAGGTCATAATAACTTTAACACCTGTTTCTATGTCATAAATTTTCACCTGCATATTTAATATCTGCCACCACTTGTCTATCAGTTTGTTATACTGTGGTGGCTTGTGAGTTGCTGTGATCTGAAAGCTATGAAAACAGTATTTTAAGTACCAGCAGGGTCACCCATGGTGAACAGGTTTCAAATGAGCTTCCAGACGAAGACAGACTAGGAAGAAAGTGTGACAAACTACTTGCGAATGTTTAGTCACTGAAAACCTTATGAATAGCAGACAGAGAAACACCATCAGATGTAGTGCCTGAAAATGAGCCACTCAGGTTGAAGGCACTCAAAATGTGACTGGGGAAGAGCTGCCTCCTCAAAGTACAGTTGACCATGATGACATGAATGGAGTAAAGCCTGTAGGAGAAAAGCCTGTGGGACCTTCATTTGCTAATGGGACACAACTCAAAATGAAGAGAAACAGCTGTAAACATCCATTGAACATCGGAAGATGGAATGTACAAAGTATGAATCTGGGAAAATTGGAAGTTGTCAGAAATGAAATGGAACGCATAAATATTGAAATCCTAGGCTTTAGTGAACTGAAATGGACTGGTATTGGCCATTTTGAATCTGACAACCACATGGTTTATTTACTGTGCCGGAATGACAAATTGAAGTGTAATGGTGTTGCGTTCATTGTCGAAAAGAACATATCCAGATCAGTCATGAGGTACAATGCTGTGATAGGATAATACCCATGTGCCTACAGTGAAGCCCAGTTAATACCACTATTATTCAAATTTACGCACCAACCACTAAAGCCAGTGAGGTTGAAATGGAAGAATTCTACCAACTTTTTACATTTGAAATTGATCAGACATGCAATCAAGATGTATTGATCATTACTGGTGATTGGAATGCAAAGGTTGGGAGCAAAGAGGAAGGATCAGTAGTTGGAAAATATGACCTTGGTGAT